ACTTGAGCTGTGAAAATTATGCTCCAAAGACTTGTACCTTTTGATGTTCTCTTGTGGTATGCCTGTAATCCTGTGTACACATTTATAATTCCCACCAAACATATTGTTGTTCCTAGTATCCAGTGCAAGAAGTACCATAAACTTCTACGTCTTGTTCCCCTGCACAAAGGGAAATATTTCGATTTTTTCATATTCGAATTTCGAACATAATGGTCGCATGTACGTGGGTAAAATAGTTCTTGCGGGCTCTTTTTTTTTTTTTGAATGGAAATATATACCTCTTAGGTCTTCTGAATCCAATCAAAACTTGAACATAGATTGCACCATAAAGTGCTAACCCTATTCTTTGATGACTGTTGTAAAATGTATTCTCAAAGTTTCTTATTGAAAGAGCTGCTCCAACTGTAGCTAGTAGTACTGATAGCACCTTCAAATTACAAACAAAAGAAACCGAATTTCGTTAAATACGGTTCTGGGTGTCGCCTGATCGACAGTAAAGTCGAAATAAATTCAATAAGAATAATACGTACAGTTTGTCCCTTTTCTTTTATCCCCATAACTTCATAGCAATCATGTTCAAAATAGCTTTGTTATGTGCCTACCTAACTGTGGGCTCAGTTTTGTTATTTTTTGAAGTTTAATTGCCACACATTACTAAAGTGCATCATGCATGATTATGCAGCAGAAAAAGGAGGAAAATGTTCAATTATGACACCATATGACTATAGAGGAACACTATGATTTGATCACATCAAGTCAAAAGTATTATGTTTTATTTTATTTTATTTTTTTCATTTTTCTTTTATTGTTATGTGTTTCCTATTGAGAACAAAAAACCAGAATGACGATCTACCTGCAGAATTGCGTGAACGTAGAACAAAATTTTTCGCGTCTTCTGGTGGCATTCCCATGTACTGGACATTCTTATTGTTAGTACTCCAAGAGGCGTTAAGAATCCCATTGAAGCCCATAAAAGAACTCCATGGAGTGTAATATCCAATGTCTTTTGTGAATTTACCTGCACAAGTTGTTACAGATTAAACCCTCAATCCTACTTTCGAGAGAGTACGAATAATATATTGATTCATCCTCTCAATTCGAGAGCTGCGTCCACTTGCCAGCTATGAAGAAGAAGAATACAAGTTTTTCCATGAACCTTTCTCATACAAAAAGGACCCCAGAAATTAAAATGAAGTAAAATTCTGAATCGATTATCCTAAACATGCATAAAAAAAGGTAAAATTATCTTACACGTTCACTGCTGCTGTGAAAACTGCCAGAATTCTTCTGTTCATCAGATGAGCCTTCAGCAAAATGTACAAGAAAAAGGAACACAACACTAAAATAAATACTTAAAGAGAAAATCTTCTGAATTATATGCATCATTCAGTATTTACTACCCAAGAAAATCTTCAAACAAAAATAGGCCACAGATTAATGGATACGTAATGTTGTTCTTATTGGAAGAGAAGTTGAAAAACCAATGGTTTCTTTTTTTTGTGTATCTGTGCATGCAATGATCCTCTCTCCTTTACTTTCTCTCCTTTGCTTTTGAAGATTGTCTGCTTTATGATATCCATTGCTTTACACTTTCTTTCTCCTAACTAGAAAATCAATTAACGTTTTTAGTCTGTGTGGTAATTATAGCTTCGGGTTTTGATTAGACAAAAGCCTCTTTGGTAACCTTAATTACCATTTCTGTTCATCTCTTCGAATAAAGAAGTTTGTATTTTAGCTAAGTAGTAATTACTAAATTACTGTTTAATCTTTGTAATCTTTAATAAAAAAATGATTTATAAAATTAGTAGCTTGTATGAGAATTTGGAACATGCTTGCTTGTCACCTGTGTGTGGCAATTATGAACAGTGTGAAGAAGCATAATTAAATGCACCAATAGGATTAATAAATACAAATTTATCCTGTGACTTCTATGATTACACCAATTTAATTCTGAAAAATTGCTATTGCATTATAGTATGAATACACGAGAATTAGAAAATTTAATTCTATAGCACCAAGAGCGATAAAATCATTGTAAGGAAAAAAAAAAGAAAAGAATACGCAAAATTTATAAATGTTCGCTTCAATGTGAAACTATGTCTGCTTCCACAATTGCAGATATTCATTATGATGAAAATAAATTTACGAGAGAAAAAATGAACAGTCTATTACTCTATTTTCTCTAACGGGTCTCTTTTGTATGATGATTACATAAATTTAATGACGGCTTCTCATTTATAAGAAAAAATGGGGCAGCAAAAATTACAAGTGTAAAATTTCTAAACAATACTAATGAAATTTTGATCACGATTTAGCGACAATAATTACACTCTACGACTTAGCTGAATACATGAATACAATACATTTGTAATAGGCTATAAACATGTTTTACCATTCTATTTTTATTGTTAGATTTACGAAACAATTTAAAGAAACTAGAAAATATACCAACGCATTGTATTGGACGATTAGGAGTTGTTCTTTTTGTATTTCAATTTTGTATTTTGAGTGTCCATTTTAAGATTGTTGAAAATGTGTTCTTTTTGGCATTTTAAAAACACTCAAAACTCGTTTTGAAAATTTTGACTTGATTATAACTGAAGACACCTAAAACGACAAATTTGTCGTTTTAGGTTTTCTTTGTAAATTTTTAACTTGTTTTCAAAAACGCGTTTTTGAAAATAGAAAAGAGAACTCATTTTCACTGTTTTCAAAAATCGAAAGCAAAAAAGACTTGCAAATGGTTAAGAAAACATGTCTTTATATTCTAAAAATGTAGCTCGAATTAACAACTGTATTAATGCGAGAATTTTTTTTTTTTCTTGCAACATTCTCGAATGAACTTCAATTAAATGTTTGTGTCAAACATCATAATCTGTAATGCATCATTTAAAGCTGTCCCATACACCTGAATTCTTCACAGTCATCATTGGTTTTATGACTTCATGGATATAATGAAAGGAAAAACTAGAGAGTGCGTTTGATTGAATTAATATTATTTTTCCACCTAAATTCTTACTTTCGAAGTATTTGATTTATAATTTTCTGATGAAAAATATTCTCCAACTTTTGGACATGAGACCATATGCTCCTCAAAAATAAGAAAGTATTTTCTTTATTGAGGGATGATTTTTAATTTTCTCGATAATTTACTCTCTCTCTCTTCCTCAACTATCCATCAATAAAAAATGGACAAATATAATATTTTTTAGATTGAAAATTAAATTAATCAAATACATTTATTTCATATAAATAAGTTCTAGACAATTGAATTACCTAGAATTTATTTTCTTTACATACAAATTTCATGTTCACAATCAAACACACCCTTAGAATTAATATATTTTCCTAGATATTTTTAACATCTTGAATGACAGAATAAAGTGTTGCAACAAGTGATTAGGTGACATTGTTAATTATTTTAAATTGATCAGCATTCTGTTAAAAAAGGTGGCAAAATTGTCTGGCAATGTGGGTGGCAAGGTTGAACCTCTTATTAATTTGATGTAGTTTCGAATTTCACCATCATCGAGGATATGAGATAATTCAACATGGTATAAAAGACACGATATTGAAGTTCTTATATTAATTTTGAGAAAGATCGACATTGTACAGTAAGACTATTAAGTCAAACCACTGTTGCCTTCTTTTTTTTTTTCACATCTCTAATTCTTTAGACATCAAACATTTGCAAATCAAAACCTGCCACCCCATGCATTACCTTAATCATCACTGGAAAAATGGCTTTGTCGTGTCATAAAATGGGTTAATCTTCATAATTAACCTCTAAGACCAAGAAAAATGATGTGTGAAAGCCTAAACATAAAACTGGAGACACCTCATCCTTGCATATTAAAAATGTTACTGAAAAAGATATATTAAAAAATAATAAAATTTGCTTTATTTGATGTAATTATGATGTTGGAGTAGTTTTTTCAAGATGAAACAACAAATAATAATTTTGAGACTATTTGTTGGGTGAGTAGTCAAATTTCATATCTTGCTCTGATTTGGGTGGCTATCATGAGCAATTTTATATTGTTCCAAAGTGGAATTTCTATTCAATAAAGAAGGCTCCCAATTGGGGATTTGGATGAGCAAACTAATATTGACTAGGGTTTGAAATTGATCACAAAAACTCACTATTATACCAAATCTTGTTTACAAAGAATGGAATAAATTCCTTTTTAAAATTTATTTGTATTTTTTTTTTTTTTTTTTGCCTATTTCTTTTATGATTGTGTGAAGGGAAAAAATTTATCCAAAAAAAAAAAAAAGAAAAGAATAAAGGATCTCTAAAATTCTTTTTAAATAGCATAATGCATTTGAATCAATTTCATTGTGACATGCAAAGAGTTGTGGGCAAAAACAAAGTATATGTCTAGTTCAGTTGATAAGAGAGAAATCTTACATAGGTCATTGGTTTGGGCTTGAACTTCCTTTCAGAGGTTAAGAATGAAAATCAAGAAAGAAAAAAAGTTGCTGGCAAAATATCTGAAGCACAATAGCAATCCTTGGAATTACTTAAAACTCTTTAATATGTTTGCCTTTTTAAGTGATTATTCGAGTATGTAAATATTCGAGTATATGGAGTTGACTTCAAAGTCATGTTGAAATCCGATTTCCGACAAAATAAGTCAAATTTGCATTTTCTTGTACGTGTCTACATACTAAGAGAATATCTTAGAATGCCCAATCGTCGCTCTAAGAGTGCGGCGACAGCTATAGACAATACCATGCTCAAGTCAAAATAGGATTTGGATGTGAAAGTCAAATAGACTAAATATTGGTTTTGGTACAAATATCGCATGCCTTAATTTGCATATGAACAATGTATATATAGANACTATCAATATCTTCTATATATTAAAAGTGGTTATGTAACGGAATTTCTTATTTTTAACGGAAAAACTAACGGAATTTGTTGTTTTAACGGACTATGTAACGGAATTTCTTGTTTTAAACAGACAGCTGCACCTTCTTTCAGTGTTTTTATCATAATTTTGTATTCCGATATTCGATTGAGACGATTCAAAATGAGTTGGAAAGCTAACCCATCGGCTACAACTTTGATTCAGATATCATTCTCCAATTGGATCACTTTCTATGCAAACAATATGTCTCAATATAACGAACTATGTAACGGAATTTTTTGTTTTAAACAGGCAGCTGCACATTCCTTCAGTTTTTATATCATAATTTTGTATTTTGATATCCGATTGAGGCGATTTAAAATGAGTTGGAAAGCTAAATCATCTGTCTACAACTTTGATTCAGACATCATTCTCCAATTCGATCATTTGCTATGCCAAAAATAGGTTTCAATATAACGGACTATGTAACGAAATTTCTTGTTTTAAACAGGCAGCTGCACCTTTTTTCAGTATTTTTATTATAACTTTGTATTCTGATATCCGATTGAAGCGATTCAAAATGAGTT